TACTTTTACCCCATTTAAGAAAATCTTAATTTATAAAGTACTTTAAGAAAATTCTAATTTTTATTAGCTTCTTTATGTTTTACTTAGAATATTTTTATTTTTATTAATTATTTATTTACTTAATTTCTAAAAAATGATAAATTATATTGTACTTAATTTATTATTATTACAAAAAATAATATTCTATTAATAAAAAAAAGAGCAATTTTCTATTTAATTCCAGTCTCTAATTTTAGTTTAAATTTATTAGGAGTAAAGACAGGTTTGTGAAGCAACTAATAAAAATAAATAATTTGATTTGGGGAAATGAACTAGATAAAAGTAAATTTTATTATTAAGATTAAAAAATAATTTGATCCTGCTTGTATGAATTTTAAAATGATATGTTTCAAATTGATCCTAATTTCTAGAAAGAAAAAATTGTACCATCATTAGTGTGTGCGCATTTTTATTTTTATTTTTATTCCATTTAAAATTCTAAAAGAAACTGAAGAGAAACCAACCAAACTTTCTTTATAAACCAAAATACACAGACCCAATTAGTTCCAATCGAAATTACCACTTATAATTAACATGTATATCACATATAATTAAAATATATTAAGGTAGAAAAATTAAATTAGTGTAGAGTAGAATTAATATAAATAAGTGCGATACATAATTAAATATACACAATACGAAGGTTCTAAAAATACTAATATATTTTAATTTTTTGATCTGTTAATTCAGAACTGAAATTGGACACAGCAAATAAACTGAACCGGTTCCTATGTATTTAATTTTTTCAATTTAAAATTGAAATTTACTCACTCCTAGCCATTACAATACAGAAGGAAACTATATTTTCTAATGGTAATTTAGATTGAGCTTGATACTGACGATTGCAACCGTTCACTTTTGATTGGATATGACAAACGAATAGGCCCAGGCCCAGGACCGGGCCCAGGCCCAAATAAGCCCATCCATCTTTTTCGAAAAATAGAAAGTGTTTTTAAATAATTAATTAATCAAACGTCTCGCAAATCGCACTGAAACTGATCGTGAGATATCAGGGAGAAACGTGGGTCCGTCGTCCCTTCTGCACCCTTTCAGCCCTCTCTGCTAATAATTCATTCTCTCCCTCCCGATTTTTTGCCCCAACATTTTATTTTTGAACACCATTCTGCAACAAAACCTTGATTTCATACTTTTATCTTTCTTTCTCGCGGCAATTATCGTCTTCTGCGGACGAGTTTAGGGTTCAAACCGGATGCTTCCCGCGTATTTATGGTTGACTGCGTGATTTTAGAGTACCCATTACCCGACTTCAGACTTGCATAGCGGGGTTTTACGAGGTTCTCAATATGGCAGAAGCTTCACGGGGTCGAGTTACAATTACTCTTGGGCGTAGCGGCCAGGTACTTTTCTATCTCTTGAACTTTTTAGGGTTTGTTGTTCGTGCCTTTCTTTATACTTCCTATGATGGGTCTACAGTATGCATTTGTGTTCCCTTTTTGCTTTAAATGTTCGAGCCAGCGTTGTGCCTGTTTGATTCTCTGAAATTCGCAGAGACATGAAATAGGAATTTTCTTTTTTTTAAAAAAAAGAAAAAAAGAGAAGAAGCTCAATCGACTGAGCTCGAAGCTACTAATCAACTGTTCTTGGCATTTTCTTTGACTCGTATTAGTTGTTGGCTACTTAGGGAAAAAGTTAAAACAAAATATAGGAATTAAATGTTGCTGTTCCTTGCTATATTATCGAAAGTTCATTCCTGCAACAAGTTCGTCATTTTACCTCATTAGCAATACTTGTTCGTACTGCAGAACTATAAAGGTTTTGAATTTGCAGGTGGTAAAGAAGGCTGGAAGTGAATTACATGGTGATTTTTCAGATTCTATTCTAGGGGCTGGAAGTAAACGGTCTTTAAGAGAGAGATTAGGAAGTAATTTTGATAGTTCCTTGCAACAAGGAAGGGAAACGAACAACAAAAGGTATTTCTGTTTTATTTTTATATGTTCCTGTACATTTGATTTGGTAATAGCTTCTTGTTTATCTTGGGCGTATTTTATCCACTTATATTTTTTACTCAGTTCGACAGTCTTGAGGTTTCTGGGAGATTTAGTGTGCATTTGTCATTTGGTCTTCCACTAATAAATTTACATAGATGCTGTTCAAATTTTTCAGGTCTAGAGCAGACTCGGGTTTGAGTGGTGCTGGTGTGGATGGTAATAAGTATAGTCTCCAACATTACAATCATTTATTTTCTGAATATGTCCCTGATTTCCTGATTACTGACCCTGGTGCCTTTGGTTACTTAAGATTTTCGAATCAGTAAAGATGATCTCCGGTTCAAACTCATGCAAAAAAACATAAGACGAGCTCAAAGCAACAATGATCAGAAAGGTATGGACCTCCGAGAAAAGCTCTCAAGGATGGGCCAGGCTCCTGCTAGGTTTGTTGATACACGGAAGCAATTGCCAATGTCAAAAGACACTGGTATCCTGGGGCGAATCCCTCCCACAAGAAGGGCGGATNNNNAAATTATGATCAATTGTTAGAAGTCCAAGTTAACCACTGTATTATGTCACTAACCAGTAAACTGGTCTAAACAATCATGCCATTTGTTCAACATCTGAAACTATGTCTTATAAAGATAATCAGAGAAAATTCCTACTATTCCTTTGGACACAAAAAAAAAATGCAGCTGACTATAAGAATTAAAGGCACAATGGACTATTCAGGAAATTATACCACAAGTAATTCTAGGTAAATTTTTTGGAAACCTGATTTGTCAGTTCATCTTAACTGAAAGGATTCTGATTGTGGTGTAGAGGCCACTGTTTTTTATTCATGTGGTCACACTGCATCTGGAATTGAAACTTTGTCAGATTTCTTGTACTTCTTCCCTTGCTTTGATTTCCTTCACGTATTAGCTATGTGATGATTGAATTCAAGTTATGGTTTATGACTGAGTGGATTTCTGTATGAAATTCAGTATATTTGATGTTTAGTATGCTATAGTTCGTCTGCATTTACTTACTTTCTGTCTACCTGTTATCTAGGGTGAAGAACAACAAACAGTTGATGGCCTGTTACATTCACTGGGATTGGGGAAATATGCTATTCTTTTTAAGGCCGAGGAAGTACGAATCTATTTGTCCTTTCTTTCATACCTTTGAATGATGAAACAAAACCGGTCTTGGAAATCTTTTTCTTTTGACTGTTCTGAATCACATGATTTTTCATGGAGAATGAAATTATTTTCTGGATCATTACATGTTTACTTGCTGTCAGATAGGAAGCAGCATGAAGTGTAAATTGTTTCGTGTTCTATTTCAATTACACATCTCTGCCTTATGGTGAATGAGTTTGATGGATTGTCATGGGCTTCTCATCTTGGTTTGAATCCCTTACTCCCCCCATCCCCTTTTCAAATTGATTTTTTTTGAAGTTATGAGCACATAACTAAATGGACTTAGTTGATGTTCAAGGTATAATAGCTTAGTGGACTTATTTATTTTCATAAGGAATATGGGAAAATAGTAGTCTGCAATCATCTTCTATTTTCCCTCTTCTTTTAATTAATTTTTTCTGGAGTTATGATTAGATGTCCCAGTGACATCAGAATATGAAGTGTTTATGTATCATGGAGTTATGATTTGGGCACATGCATAAGGAAGCAACAGCTGTATAATGATATTTACTATTTATTCTGTTTTCTTTATTTGGAAAAACTATATTATCTATTTTCATTCCACATATCTCCATTGTGGTGAATTAATTTGATGAGATTGACATGGGTTTGTGGAAGGGTTAAGCATAGTCTCACTGCTAGTTTCTCCTCTAGCTTTAAATCCCTTACTCCCCCTTCCCCTTTCTAAATCTAATTCTTCTGGAGTTATGGGCACATACCTATCAGACTTAGTTGATCTTGAAGATAATAATAGCTTAGCGGACTTTGTTATTAAGGAATAGGGGCAGATAGCAGTGTTTTTATGGCCTATTATTTCCCTTTTTTTATATTAATTTCTTCTTGAGTTATGATTGGACATTCTACTGTCAGAATTTCCTGGTTGATTTCATTTCCTTTCGTCTCTAGTCTCTCCCACATATTTCTGTTGTAACTTCTTTTCCTCTTGACTGTTTGGCTGATAAGTGATATTATTGATATCCTAACAGGTGGATATGACTGCCTTGAAGCAGATGGGGGAGAATGACCTTAAAGAGCTGGGAATACCTATGGTATTTTTTTAATCCGTTTCTGCATGTTATCTTGGTTTTTGTCTTGTACCTTTTTAACCTTCGATTCATTTTACTGATGCCCTAAGATTAGCCAATCACCAGTGTACTGCTAGTCTCTCATTGATGTCTGTTATATGTATATTGAACTCTGAAGAACGCTACTGCATATGAGAAATAATTTTAAAACAAAAATAAACAACAGTTTCCACAAGTTGTTACTATAGGGATCTATAATTCATGGAACAATAGGCAAGAAGTAACAGATAGGACAACAGCTGAGACTGGTTTGCTTCGCAGGATTTTTACATGGTTATACACATGAAATAATAATTTGTTTTTCATGTTTAGGATGAAAACATAGATGAATGAAACAGAATGAAGATGTAAAATGAGTGAAATATATTCGTTCTAAATCCCTAGTTCATTTTAGGACCTCATATCTGTGTTTGTTTGAAAACTCAATAAATGTAAGCTGCTATGTTTTCTTTTTCTTGTTTTTGTTTGGTTCATGCGATCTGCACTTGACCATAGCTATAACTTCATGGGAGAAACATAAAGGCCTGACCTTGTTGCTCCTCAGCCACTTGCATAAACGCACATGCACATGCACATGCACATATGTTTTTTGGAAGTAGCATAGTGTATCACTTTGATGTCATTTCTAAAGAAAGTGGCCTGAATTGCAGGGACCTAGGAAAAAGATTCTCCTCGCCCTGTTGCCTCCTTCAAAGAGACAACGGTGATGCCAAAGCCGAGATCCACAGTGGAAATTTGTTTCCGAAAGATTCTTCTAGCCAAAACTAACACCTGTATTTCCTTAATGTCAAGTTATAAGTTGCACATGAATCAGTTAATTACATTTTTGTCTTGAAGAGTAACTTATGGTGCTTTAATAGATGGCGATGAGAAATTTTGAGGTCTCCATCTCTTCTCTCTGTCCAACGGCGAGGAGAAATTCATATACTTGTGGTGGCAGAATTTCTTGTTCACATGGAATGGAATGTTTGAAAAACTATGTATTGTCGCATGATTTCAATACGAGGACCTTGAACAAATTTCTAGTTGTTTAAATTTCATCCGTTCTTATTTTAATTTTTGATTTTAATTGTTGGATTTATTTAAAGAGGTATTGTTTGTTAAGGTTCCTGTATCCGTGGGAACTGAGGTAGTTTGTGATTGATGTGGAAACCCATGTTCTTTTTACAGAGATGTGTCTTCAGTTAAGAAATTTTTTAAATATATAGCCCAATACATTTGCAGGTGATAATAATAGTCGAGATTGACATAATTCGTAAACTTAAAAATTCTGTTCAATTTCATGGTTCTTAGCAGTTGGCATCATACAGAAGTATATTTTTTACGCGTATATAAAATGAGAAAATATAATTGGAAAAAGACAAAAAAAAAAAGGAAAAATGAGTCACAAACTTTTCTTTCTGACTTTCAAGGGCCGTTGCTAATTTGAAACATGGAGATCTTAGGTTTCACCAAACAAGACAAGAAAATATCTGGTTCATTATCAGGTCTGTACTTGGTCGTCAAGTAATAAAAATATGAATCAAACAGCATTCTACGCACAAGGTAGAAATACTAACTTTAATTCCCTGGAAGTAGACCATGGAAAACAATTACTTCAATAATAATAAGAAGAAAAGTCTGAAGGTGGTGGAATTTCATGTCATGTTAATTTTCACCTACTTTGTTGAAAAATAGAAAGAAAAAATAAATTTGTGGATATGGATTTGTTATTCTACTTGGTACTACGCTCGTTTTGGTGTCTCTTGCAACAACCGGGAAGCATCGTTAAGTAAATTTGCGTTGCACATATCATAAGCAATTAAATGATGAGCAAAGTACTTACCTTATTCTTTACATAAACAATGAACTTGTTTTATTTTGTTAGAAATTGAAGTGGCTTGATTTTCTTCTTTAGGAAATAATAGGGTTTGTTGGTTAACTATTGATTGATTTACTAAATATGTTTCAATATTTTATGTATTATTATTATTAAAAAAAATTATGTTATATTTTAATATTAACATGTATCTATCATTTACTGATAAAATATATTTTTTTATTTCAAATATTACCATTTTTTTTTTTGTATGATTTTCTTTTCAAATAAAGACTACACTATTTACGAGTATTCTCTTCATTACAAACACCTTAAACTCTCTCTCTCTCTCTCTCTCTCTATATATATATATATTATGTGTGTGTGTATAATTTGACCTATAATATGTCATTAATTAATTAAAGTTATTTTTAATTCTTTTACAATGTATACATGCATGCTCCTAGCAATGTTAGAATATTTATATCTTTTTCCTCTTCCTACCTTAAAGAAAGATCTAAACAATAAATTAAGGCAAGGTGGGAAAATTAATGGGTTTGCATTACAACTCAAATTCCATATATACATATATATATATACGTATACATAACTAAAAATTATTTGTGTTCCTTCCCACTACTAGGATTTAGATACCTAACTGTATACCATTTGAGACATGAAGTAATAAATAAAAAGAGGGCAGTGGTTGGCCGAAGATACTATAACAATAAGGTATGTATATATATATATATATATATATATATATATGTATGTATATATACAGTTTGTGGGTGGGGAATCGTATTCTCATTCTTTGAAGACAAGACTCTGTTCTGCAGTTAGTCTCTGGCTGCAAACCCAGTCGTGTATATATAATGGTACAGTTCAGTAGCTATCTCTCAAGTTCTCAGCAAATCAAAAAATAGTATAAAATTCATTTATAAATTTATACTTAGTTTAAGTCGGTATATATGAAATTTCCTTCTTGGTAGAATCAGTCTAATATATTTCATATTTCATTAACATTGTTTAATTTTATATGAAATTTACGTAATTTAATTTTTATAATTTTCTCTACAAATTTTATTACTTTTAACCAAAACAATTATAAATTTACTTTTCACCCACAAGATATTGAACCATTAATACTCAACCCCTCATTCTATTCTTAATGCTAATTTTTCACCTTTACCCCAGCTCCTATATAGCCAGGTGGCTTATTATGATACACTGGTAAGACAATCATATACGTATTGCCTGTATCCTAATTACATCTTCTAGCAATTGTGGGCGATGGTTATGCATAACATCCCCCCGGCTCCAGGTTTATCTCGGCACTGTGTCCTCAGCGTTATGACACCCATTGTATATATATATATATATATGTATACATATATTGTTAAAAAATAATGACACCTAGTGAGATGCAGCGAGACTTCCTGGCTTAGTTCCTGGCAGATTCATCATTTCCTTTCTTTAGCTATGATTATTTAAACTGACTGATACTGTTGCCACCACAACTGCTTGTCAATCATAAACCCAAAAGCGCCATGTCATAATCCATTTACAATATATATACACACACACACACGTATATAAGCAGTTTTCCTTGGCTATTTGTTGATCTTGCGTTGTCTTTTTGAGATTTGGTGACGAAATTATTGTGGGGGTTTTTGGTCAATCTTGTACTGCTCCGTCCTTTCCATTATGTATTGGTGCTTCCGAAAATAAACTATTTCTCTTCTTTGCTTGTTTTCCCATTTGATTTGCAAATAATTCAACGGTAAAATGTTTTCCTAAAATGAAGTATAAATATTATATATATGAGATATATTAGCTTGTGTACATATATACTTATATAATATTTTTCTAGAATAAGAAAATAATAGAATCAATTATTTACATTTTAACATTGTTACTGTACAAAAAAAAAATTGCATAAATTCCTAATAAGTTTTTAAGTTTCTTGGAGGTAGAGTTTATGAATTCAAATCTTATAAACTCCATCTCCCACTCTTACTGTTTCTTCACCAAATTTTTCATTTACTATTAAATTTCAAATCTTTATATTCTTTTACTTTTTCTTTGAAAGGCAAAACTTTATTGAGTAAAGAAAATGAATAACACCAAGCACCAACCCATTCATAACGTGACTGTACTTAGATTAATAATCCCATTCATAACCTTATAAACTAGACTATTCAACCTCTAAAGAATTTTGTTTCTATTCACCCGAATAGTGGCCACAATTGAGTCATTCCCCACCTCAAGGTTAGTGAGAATATGGTGAAGACTTCATAAATACGCACAAACTTACAACCACATAACTGGCTCTCAATTCAGCAAAATTTTTAGTGCAATATGCCCATGCTCTTGAAGAAAATACATCTAAATTCAGCAAAATTTTAGTATAACCCCTCCCATACACGAAGGTCTCGATTTGCCTCACATTGAAGCATCCACATTAAACTTCCAAAACCCGCTAGTGGAGGGAATACATGTCAAAGGCCTAGGTGGAGATGGCAGGCTTTTCTCTTTGTAAACCTCAGGAATTTAAAAGATTAATTAGCTAGTGGTGCATCTCCCAAATTCTTTTTAAAGGCAATTAATCCACCAAACTAGGTACGTACGCACCAACTCGCAAATCTCCTCAACCTCACAAGTTTTTGTTGGAAAAATTTTGAAGAGATATCTTACCTTAATAAAATACTTTGTTGAAATGAAAAGAAGAAATGAAATTAGCAAATAGGAAGACTTAAAATTTTTAACTGTGATTGTTATTCAAAATCTTCAAGGACACAGAATATTATAAGTACTAATACAATTCTTAAAATTCTAAATATATGAATGATAATTAACTTTAATTTATAAACAATAACAATTTAGGAAACTTAAAAGACTCATATCGAAGTTTAATTCATAAACCATAACCACCTATAAAAGTTAAAAGACATACATTTATATGTTTAACTCTATATAAGATAAAAAATCTTAAATTATTATTTTAAGCTCCTTAGTTAGGTCTCTTTAATTTATAAGTTATTATTTTTAATTTTTTATAAAATAGGGTTTTCTTAACTTGTAAATTATTATTTTTAATACTCTCTCTTAATTTGCAAAATTTTTTTTCACTCTAAAATTAGCACCGTCGTTGAAAAACTTCAAACTTGAATGGCTTCGTAAAAATATCTGCAACTTAATCTTTAGTCTTCACATACTTGAGCTCGACTTTCTTTTTAGCAATACAACAATTTTTCATGTGAATTTTGTATCTCTTTTTAAGAAATTGGTCCAAATTTAAAATATTACTTTTCAATTTTGCCACATAATAAATATTAGTAATAAATATATGTTCACCATTTCTTGAAGAAATTAAAAATGTATTGCTTCCTTGAATTTAGACTTTTGAAGAATCTTCAAAAGACACATTGTCATTGATCTTCTCATCAAGCTCCCCAAATTTTTCTTTGTACTCGCACATGTGATTGCTTGCTCCATTATCTAAGTACTATGGATTATGGTTATCACTTTCTATCTTTACATGGTAGCAACAAACTCATTTTCTCTTCATCTTGTTTATCATTGATAAAATTGACTTACTCTTTTTCGTTTAGGGTGTCACGACATTCCCAAACATAATAGTTATATATGTGACAACGGTAACATTTAATGGTGGATTTGATAGATCTTTTATAGTTATCTCTTCTTCTTCCACGATCTCTACTTACCTACTGTTTTTTTTTTTTTTTTTTGCATCATCTTGGATACCATTTATTTTAGACACTTGACCTCGATCATAATATGTCCTTTACCTCTTCCATGTACTCTTTGTCTTCTACTTTCATTTAAATAGACATTTGATTTGAGAATTTTTTCTAAAGGATCTTCTTGTTTTCTTTTTATTTTATTTTTATGAACTTGTACTGATATCTCTAATTACTTAAAAATTATAGTGTTTAAATTTTTTTACTCTTCAATGGCACAAACCATATAATTAAATTTTAATTGTAGTTGTTGTTCAACCACAATTAAAATTCTAAATGTATTAATAATAGTTAACTCTAATTTATGAACCATAACCATTTAAGAAAACTTAAATACATATTGAACTTTAATTCATGAATCATAACCACCTATAAAAATAAAAAAATACATATTTATATTCTAAACTTCATATAAAATCAAGAGTATCAAATTATTAAATTAAACTCTTTAATTAAGTTTTCTTAATTTATAAATTATTATTTTTAACCGTCTTTCTTTTTAAAAGCTGTCTCATTCTTAACTAATCATATAGGCCAAACCACAAGGACAACCAAAAAAATTTTACTATAGTAAGGGCCATCTACTCTACTGATTACTAAGTTACAAAAAGGATGTCCCAAGAATACACCACGTTATCTCTTGCCATGCTAAACACCAGCTCTAAACAAGGCAACTCATCATGCAATGAAGAAACACGTGGTTAATTGTTGTCCTAATATTCTTTCATTTATTTTGGAGCTTTTTCCTTTTCTGGTATTAAATCCACGTGCTAAGTTTAAAAAATCTCACTTACATATCAATGGATATATATATACACAGACACACATAAATATTAGATTGTGTTATTATCTATAAATTTAAATTTTTAAAATAATCAATGCAATCAATTGCTTGGAAAATATTTTCACCATGCTTAAGCTCATTGAGCTTAACGCATGGATTAAACGACATCTTTTATGCAAATTACGACGTTAAAATGTTCAATTCTTTATACTTAATGCTTTCTCTCTATCATTTTCAACAAGCTGCTTATGTTGTTACCTTCTTTCTCTCTCCCCCCCTTCCCAAATCTGTTTCCTTCTCCTGGCTTAGCAGCTTAATCCATACGTATATGTATATATATATATATAATATAAATAGCTGCAGATTATATAGTTTACATTTTTGACGTCAGCCATGTGCTTAAATATGAATATTCCACTAGCTAAATGAATTCCCAACCAAAGTGGCTTGCGCACTACCTTCCTTCTTTCTCCCACCATTGATCATCATATCCAACAGTTGAATGCAACAGCAGAATGCCAATGATCTTCATAACACTAGAAACTTCCCTGTTTCCAATCATGCCCCGTTATTTATCGTACATAGTACATATATATCTAAATTTACATTTCTAATTCTAGCAATTTTTCCTCTGGTCTATGCAGGAAATTTAATTTAATCGGACAATAACATTTAAATAATTGAAGTCACATAATATCAATCGGGCAAAGAATAGTGGTTTACATGATCTGATCTCGTTATGTGTGGTAATATATACATACACATGCTTATATAATCAACCTTCTATATATGACAACTTTGAATTCCTCCTAATTGCTGTAGCAGCTCTATACTTTATAGGGATTTTTTTCTTTTTGAACTTATGAATTCTTGCATTAATAGTCAATCTTGGTATTCTTAGTGGACCTTTTAATTTATTATAACATCTTTTTCTTTGGAGTATAAAAAAAAATGGTTTGGAGTTGTCCACAAGTGAAGCAAGATAGATAGGATGGGAACAGGGAGATTGGGGAGGCTGATGATAGGGACCCATCTTTTGATTCTATATACACAATGAAATCAATATATATATATATATATATATATATATATACATATATATGTCATGTATGTATGAAAGGATTGGATATGTAGGTGAAGTGAAATGAGCTGAAATCAATCAATCAAAAGTATCAACTAACCCACCCACCAAGCCACCATAATCCAATCTCCTTGCTTTAATGGTCTCATATTATTCCACATGTTAGGATAATGAAATGCTTTGATGAAACCATGCCTACTTGGAATTCTTCTCCAAAAACCTAAAGCATGCAACAAAGTAATTTGAACAGAAACTAAGAGAGCCAAAAAAATTTAAAAAAAAAATTAAAAAAAAAAAAGAGACTTTGAATTTTTATAGTGTGAAAGACATTTAATATTGGTGGAAGAATTTAATCAATGGAGGATCACGTCAAAAAGACATTTAGATTTGGTTTTTTGTAGATAGGGTTTTACAATAAAATTCTACATATGTAAAATGTTGGAAATCAGAGGAAAAAAAATAAAAGCATATATATATATATGTTTATTAATTCTATCACTTGAAAAAAAAAATAAAAAAAAAAGAAAGAAAAAAGCTAGAGACAATGGAATAACAAAAAAATCTAATAGTTCATAAGATGTTCCAAAAGTTAGAAAAGTTGGGGCCCAAATAGAACAACTGTCCTACACAAATGCTTTGCTTGTTGTATATAATATATAATATGATTTTTTTTTAATACATATGCATATATATAATATAATTAGCTGATGACTTGATTCACCTGAAAATCATATCATATGCTTTTTGGGTATAAAATATAGGCTTTGCCTGCTCTAAGAAGATATGCCCAGATCTCATTGAAGACTCTTGTGAGTATATATGCTTACATCATTACCCACTTCTTATATTCCTTTGTTTAGCAACTACTCTCCCTTTATATAATTCCAATTAATTAATACCATTCCCAAAACATGGTCAAGATGGATATGCGTATATATATATATATATATATATATATATTAAAGATTATCTGACTTTTTTATTTCTTTTTTTTTTTGTGGGTGGAGGGATAATTGCAGAGAAGCTTCATAAATGATGCTGAATGATCACACTTCTACAGAACTTCAACATTGTATAACATGATTTGGAGACATTTAGTGGATGGAAATGGGTACCCACACTTGATTAAATTAATTTATAATATTCACAATTTTCAGCATATATTATAAGATAATCTTGGTAGATGACAATCCATGAATCCACTGACTCATTTGTTGGTTTAGTAAAATAATCTATATATATATGTGTGTGTGTGTGTGAGTGCATTTTAAGTACAGTGGGAAAGATTTGTTGCAAAAGCTTCAGTCTCCTGTTCCAGATGATTTCATCCTTAATCTTTCTTTGACTTTTAACGGCTTCCTTTATACATAATATAATATATATAATAGCACTTTTTAATTTCTTCAACAATGGAATAATATGTTTAAAATGTCCAAGTTGGTACTACATATAAATATATAATTGCATGTCTTTATACATTTATTTTTTTTAATTACTTATAACCCATCGAATTCCTCGTTTTTAAAAGCACACTGAATCGTCTTTGATTGAGAAAGTTTGAGGTGTATCTATTATCATATAATATATATATATATACAAAATAAAAACCCATTAATATTGCATGAAGACGGCTTCTCTATTCTGACTTTTCTTTTTCTTGCTTTTTTTAAATTGACCTCTTTGTACGTTTATGCCTTTCATGATTACACTAAAAAAAATTTCCTATTTGAGATGCAATGCATCGTTGGAAACCATACATTTTCTTACTATAAAAAGCATTAAAACGTACCCCAAACAACAACTCATCTCATCACTCTCTTCTCCAAATCATCTTTTCCAATTTTCCCCACCAGAGAAATGGATCAAAGGTATCATTATGCTTCTCATGTATGGGACAATGAAAATGGCTGCTGCTCTGGCTCATCTGCAGAGAAGAAGCTGAGGTTATTCGGGTTTGAACTTAACCCGACCGCCATTAACGATCCTGAGACAAGCTCCTTCAAGAATAATACTGAAGGAGACCATGAGAGCGTAAACTCATCCAACACAGATACATCTTCGACAGATCAGAAACTACCCAGAAAGGATTGCAAAAGCTCGCTGGCCGACATCAACGCCGACAAGAAATTCGAGTGTCAATACTGCTTCAAAGAATTCGGTAACTCCCAGGCACTTGGGGGTCACCAGAATGCGCATAAGAAAGAGAGGATGAAGAAAAAGAGGCTGCAACTTCAAGCTAGACGAGCCACCATCAATTCTTATCTTCAACCGGTACACAACAGTTTTAGCTTCGTGAGTTATAGTAAAAACAGCCATGGATCTTCTGCTGTTGCAGATCCATGGTTGTATGATCCTTCTTTGTTGAACAGTACTGCACCTGATCATGATCAATTCTGTCTTTATGAAGAATCTCAGATAAGCTTCAACCCTTATGATCGTCATCGATATAACCAAGAGAATAATAATTCATTTAAGTGGGATAATAATCTTCATCAGTATAACGTGATCGGTTTTCAGCAAGATTCACGTACTTTCAGTTTGACACATGGCCAGAAATCGGGTGATCAGCATATGCCTGCAGCTGCAGCCATGGCGAAGCCTTCTTCAAAGCAAAGCTGTAAGTCCCTGGATCTTCATTTGGGGCTCAGCTTGGAAGTGGAAAATAATTAATTACATGTACAAGTATATACATACATATAGGTGATTCGTAGAGGCTTATAATATATATATATATATATATATATATATATATCTTCTTCTTCGTTTATATGAAATTCTTTACAATTTAGACAGAGTAAAAAAAAGCTTAAGATCGACATTATTGATAGTGATTAGCTGGTAGCTTCAGCAACAGCTGTAACTCACAAAAGGGTAAATCCGATCATTGATTATATACATGTAACATGATTAATTAGGTTACAACTCTTCGTTAACCATTTTTTTTTTTGTATTTAGATTTATAAATACCCTAAATTACGTGTGTGCACAAGCTCTGTTATATATAATAGCTAAAGAAGCAAATGATGAACCTAATATATCTGCAATAATGCTTGATGTTCAATTATGAATTTGTGATTCGAGATTAAATTAGTAACTTTTATTCAAAGTAAAAAAAAAAAAAAAAAGAACCCTAAAAAAATAAATGATGAATAACCAGTTTCTTTTCGTGTAATGACTTTCATTTTGTTTCACAAATCTCATCAAAACTAATATATTACATGAAGAAAATATTTTTTTCCATTTACTTTTCCAATCATTGCAGCTGAATTTACTTTTTATTGGCTAAGCCAGTAATTAGCACCCAAACCAAGCGAGATATTCAGTTAATGTTACAATAAATTTGTCTCCTTATATTAATGGTGTATAATAATAATAAATGAATTTTCCTTACCTCAAATATTAATCTATTAAATTCAAATTTTTAAATTAAATAATAAAAATTATAATTGAAAATATAAGACTGTATCCACTGACAAATATTCATTATGGGAAATAAATTTTTAAAAACATGTAATGTCAATATTTACTAGATCAAATTCAAGTCATTTATTATATTCTAAACAATTAATCACGACATCGGTTAAGGGTTAAATTAATATGTACAAGTTTATCAGTTCATAGAATCGGGCTGGTTATCTGCATCCAACAACTTTATCTTGATGGATTTGTAATAATAAATTAATAAATTTAATGTTTTAAGGCATCGTTTAAAAATAATTAAATATTATTATTTGCATAATTAATTCCCTCGTTTAAATAACTATATAATATGAATTATAACATCTTTAGTTATGATCCTAGTTTATTAGTTAACTACTTGTTTGAATGTAGTTTTTAAATAATAATTAGTTAGTTTGAATGGTTCTTCTTGTTCACCTTTGTTGTACGTATATATATATATATATATGGGGCACACCTCATAATTCAATAATTTATAAAGACTTCAAGTTCAAGATTAGGGTTGCATTACTTTTATATACACTAGATAATTTGCTAAATGCCAACCCAACCAAATAAACAATAAACAATTTAAGTAAGGGGGTTATATATATATATATAAGTAGTGGGGTGTCATATATAATAAGGAAAAGGGTCTGGTTTTTATCAGTTATTTAATTCCTAATTAAGCTATCATGTATTAGATATATATATATATATATATATATATATATAGCTAGGTTAAACATTATATAATTAGGAATTCCATAATTCAAGAATGATGGTGCTGCCGAGCATACTCTAGAAAAAAATTATTTGATGTTAGATGAATGAATTATATATTCTCCATATCAGTCGTGTGATTCTTGTCAAGATTAAAAAAATAAATTGATCAATACATCTACCCATGTAGTCCCTAATCAATTATTAAACTGACCCATTAAATATAATTAATTTATTTGTGTTACATATATATATATATACACATACATATATAATTGAATAAGTTACGTAGCATGAGATACAAACAAATAAGTATATACGTATTCAATTTAATCAATACAATGAGATACAAACAAATTCAATGCATACATTTTTTAATACAAAACATTTTATAAGCATATTTCCATGCAGTCCATCTGAGGACACGTGCAGGTATACACCGATTAAATTATAGAGTATTATTTTTTTTCTTTTCCTATAATTATATTTATCTCTACCAATAGACTGGTCAACGCCATGGCATTGTGAAAATATATATATATATATATATATACACGATAAAGATGTACAAATTAATTGACTAAATCTTTCATTACCTAATAATAATAATATATAACATGGTTTTATAATTTATACTACAGCTCATTTGTGAAGTAATCACTGCATGTGATTAATCTGCTGGTATAAGTTAAATATACGAACACGTCTTTGTACGTGACAATGTTCCCTGAGTTTGAAATCAAATAATATAATATCTAATAAACTAACATAAATCCTTTTAGGGTAGCCTTAATATTCTATCCAAAAATGATAAAGACAGAAAAATTATTTGATTAATTAAAAATTGATATTAATACGATCTATTTTTTTCACCCATGGAGGAGAAAGTTTTTTAATTTGATTTTCTAAAAAGTATGAATTGATTAAATTAATTATTCATGAATATTAGTTTTTAATTCATTTAATTATTTTACATTTTTATTATTCTAAATGAATTATTCAGGTGATTAGTGATTACAGTAGCTTTATTATTAAATAAAAAAAAACATTAGAGTAATTTTATTACTTTTATTAAATTTATAGCAAAAAAAAAAAAACAGTATTTTTAAAATAAAAACGTAATATGTCATTGCGGTTTACATATATAAATATATATATAAAAAAAAAAAGTAAAAATTTATGAAGTAAACGAAATTACAAATTAGATCCCACCTCCACCTCCACCTCCACCTCCTCGTACATATTCATAACTAATATTTATAAAGTATAAATAAATAATAATAATATTATTATTATTATTTTAGGCTGAAAATAATTCTGAGAGGCCCATTTTTTAGCCCAAATATAGTTGGAAAAGAAGACTCTCTTCGTTTGTCTACATTAACACTGGGCCTTCATCCAGCTCGACAAAGCTTTTAACACGTGCAGCGTAATTAGGGTACGGTCATGGAAAATTAGAGATGCCCATTCATTTTAATTGGTTGGTTTCAGTTTGAAAATTGGTCGAATTAAAAATTCGATTTTGAAATTTTTAAGTAAGTCGAGAAAATCTACATAATTCAAATCGAATTTTTTAATTGATTTTAATAAATAAATTAATAATAAACATATCATATGTTCATATTAAATTACGTCAATTTTTTTTCAATTCTATTGAACTCACATATTTAAAATTTTTATACAGACCAATATTTTTACAAGTGCCTTAATGTTCCATGAAGTATAATATATTTCACACCCAGTAACTATCTCAATATAATTTGTGAAAGAAACTTATTAACTTGGTAATATCCAAGTAAAATAGTACACTCGCAAGGTGACTATAACTCCTTTTGAGTTTAAATTTTATTGTGTATCAATATCATGAGCCTTCTTTGTTTAAAATGTGAATAAAACTTTATTTTAGAGGTCCGTGCAAGCCATTTCATTAATTCATTTATTAATAAACATTTTTATTATTTTATTAGTTACAAATAGAATTAATCACATCTTAATAGATAAATATAATGTATACTAATATTATAATTGAGTAACATTAACAAATTAATTCAATTAAGTAATTTTCTTTATAAGACATTATGTATTTAAATTGAATTGTGTTTTAATTTGTTTTTACTAGAATGTTGTGTTCGTTTACATTATAATCGATAAATATATATCATTTAATTATCTTTATACTAAAAAAACTATAATTTAATAACAAACATTTATTACTTATTGAATTATATTCTAATATTGAAAAATATCTAAATACTTAAATTAGCACAGTTATTTAAAAATAGAATGAAGTAAAATATAATATGCTAGAGTTATCATATGTTTCAAAGAACTCAAAAGGTGCATACAAGTCATTAGCACAAGATCAAAACACAAACATATCCTTTGCTTTCAATGTATCCAATAAATAACAACACAAATATATTTTTACATTATTTTAATATTGCAATGTAATAATAAATTTCAAAACAATAAAAAAATATGTTTTTCTATTAACTTTAGTTATGCAATACTATTGTAACCCACAAATTATAATATTTTATAGATACAAATAATTCATCTAAGATGTAATACCCAGCTGGGTAAAAAATAAAAATAAAAAAACCAATGTAATATATATATATATAATTAAACAAAAGAAAACAAGAAATTGAAAAAGAAAACATCATAAGATAAAACGATTTCGTTAAAGAATATGTCATAATCACTCTAATCTGTTGACAAAAATGTCAATAGAATACATGGATAATTATTCCAAGTTCTCGCAAAAAAAATTTAAAAGATTAAATTTCTTAGGAGGAGAGGAGATTCCCACACGAAAGAAATTTCTCCAAGTGACAGAAATAAACATTTCTCTAGTGAGAGAAAAACCTCTCCTAATATAACATTTTTCCAAGTAGGGAGATGAGTGATTTTAATTCCTTGATGAACAATTTCGAGGACAAAATTGTTTTAAGGGGGAAGATTTGTAATATCCAGCTGGGTAAAAAAAAAAAACAAAAAAGATCTTATGGAATATATATATACATATATGTATATATATATAATTAAACAAAAGAAAAAAATTAAAGAAAGAAAAAAAGAACCCAGAGTGTACTCTGGGAGTAGAAGAAGAAAACACGTGGCCATAATATATATATATATATATATATGTATATGTATATAAATAAGTAATAAAAAAAGAAAAAAAAAATAGATAGAGAAGAGAGAGGGTCGAACGACATCGATGGGAGAGAGAGAAAGGTCGCATGGTGTTGCGTGATGTCATAATTGAAGGAGAATGAAAGAGGAGAAGAATCGTCATCGATTAGAGAGAGAAAATAGGGAGAGAGAAAGAAGACACGTGGTGGGTAGAGAAAGAAAGAGAGAAGAAAGAAGAAAGAAGAAGAAGAAAAAAGAAAAGAAAGGAAAAAGAAAGAAGAAAAAAAACGAATAGGAGTTGCAGGAAAAGAGGAAGAAGAAAAAAAAAAAAAGAGGACCAACGGTAAATGAGGAATAAAAAGAAAAAGAAA